TGTTTACAACACGTGGACACTTTATTTTTAATCTTTGCACGAATATATGACTAGAAACTAGAATGAAACTTCCTCCAAAAAGATTGTCGTGAGATTTTTCCTTTGAGCTTCTTCAGGTGTCAACAGGGTGGGAACGTAGCACCAGACCAAACTGGGTCGACTCCGCTACAGTCCTAAAGCTGCAGTGCGTAACCTCTCTTCCTAATGAATGTCCGTTGCGTCACCGTCGGCCACTTTAAACCGTCAAACTTCCTATCGATAACACGACTCCTCAGGAAACTAGTCAAGGACTTTGTAGATTCAGTGGAAATTTGCCAAAGATTTTCATTCAGATGTTGATTTCTCTGGACTTTTCCTCTGCCCGTTAACGGCCGCCTTCGTTACTTACTTCACTGTCTGACCTGATCATATAACACTAGACGTCTGTCCAGGATTTTACTGTTTCTTGAAAACTGCATGTTTTTAATCTATCTTAGAGTCACACCCTTGAAAGCAGATACAAAAAAAAAATATATATAACCAATATATGCCAGACATTATTTTATTATTTTAGAGTCCAAAAGTTCACCATCTTCTCTGCTCGCCAAAGACTTTTATTTTGAAATGCATCTTAACAGGTCAGTTTTCAGAATAAAACATTTTATTTTTTACAATAAAAAACTAAAAAATATTAAAATAATCATGGGACCAGTCTGGTAGTTGGGAACCTGAAAATCTTCTTCACCGACCGCTGGACGTTGACGTCATGACGATGTGTCTCTAACCCTGTTTTTAAACCGCCCTCACCACCAACGGTCGGTTCCAGCGTTTGTTATGACAGTGAAGTAAAACGACGTCCGACAGGAAGTCCCGCAGGACTCGATGATTCTACTGCTAAAAAAAATCATGAGCGTTCGACCGCGGCGCGATAAAAGATTGCCTCGGTCTCCGACGTCTTTGTAAAATTCTCCAGACCTCCTCAGGGTGAGTGACAGGAGTTACGCGCTGCAGCTTTCACTGAGCCATAAACAAGAGAAAAAAAAACAAAAAAAACAAAAAAAAACTGAAAAGCTTTTTGTTTGACAACATTGACAGAGGCCTGTGACGTGTGCTGCGTGGACGCGGGGTCAGTTCCTAATCTTCAGGAGTTTGTTTCATGTTAATCACACCACGGAGGAGAACACCAGGGGGCGCTAGCGTGTTCATGTAAACCCGTTGTTTGTGTGTGTGTGTGCGTGTGTCTCGTCCCTGGCCATGTAGAAACTACAAGCACAATAACGTCCTGAAACGGAAACGCCTGCTTCTGCTGCTGTGTACATACAGTACATATATTTATGTATGGACATATATGTGGCCATTTCTACTTGATGTTTTTAATATTTACTATATTACCACAACTAGAATAAACTATAGAACTATATATCTGAACAAACTGTCTCTGTCTCTGTCTCTGTGTGTCTTAGATTCACACATCACTAAAATTATCCGGGAAGTTAGCCTTTCAAGAAGGTACGCTAACTAATGCTAATTTATTAGCTAGTGAGTTGATCCTAATTTAACACTATCAATAATTAATAATACTATTTGATTTTTTACCTTGTTGTTTTATTTATATATTGCTACTTGCCTTTTTTACCTTGTTGTTTTATTTATATATAAATATGTTTTATTGAGGTTATATTTATAGCACTTTGTTTTCGACGGCATCATTTTTAAAATTTGCTGAAATAAACGTTTAATGCCTTGCGTATAAAATGGATCTGGTTTATGATAAAATGGAGGTTTGGTCAGTTTATATATATTTTTTTTATAAGGGGATGAACTGTTGTTTTGATGAGGCCTCCGTCAGATATTCTCAGATATATTTATTGGCCATTCAGTCCCGGCTGCTACTGTTTCCATAAAAAATAAACCAATAATTAATAACATAATTAATAGATCACTCATCGGTTCGAACCTCCTGACTGACGGCTGATGTGCGGCCCGGCGGCCTGATGCGTCTCATTACAGATTCAGAGCAGCATCTCTGTGCCAGGAGGAGTCAGCAGATTGGGTTACCAGGCAGAATGTTGGCTTGAAAAAGTAAAAAACAGCAACGTGTCTTACCCTGCTTCGGCGGCTAGGTGGCGATGAAGAGTCCACAGCACATCAGTCACAGTCACAGTCCCAGGCTCTGGATGAGGATGATGAGGGTGAGGAGAACGGGGTCCCTGGCTCAGCTGTCTCCACGGCAACCACTGCTGGGGACAGGAAGAGGGCAGTGAGTGTGTGTGTGAGTGTGTGTGTGTGGACTGAACTGATGAGCGACTTCATGAAGACTGTCAGGCAGAGACATTTAAATGTAGACGTCAGTGTTGGAAGAGAGGACGGTGACGAAGCACGGCAGCCGTGACCTTCACACAGACCACAAACATCAGTCACACGGGAGAAAAACTGACGCCGTTCTGTTTCTCCCTCCGTCATTTCCTTCAACACCACAGAGTCTGTGTGTGTGAGTGTGTGTGTGTGTGTACAGAGCTGTTTGTTTACTGTGGATCTGCAGGTCAGACACACACAGACGGTCAGTAAACCGTTCATTTAAATAATTTTTTTTTTTTGACTCATTTCGTTGCTTCTGTCAGTCTTCCTGACTGCAGGTATTCTGACTCACCTGCCTCTCAACAGCTTCAACTATTTTCACTTCTCTTACATCTGGAGTTTAAAGCCTCATTTTTTGAACCACAGACAAATAGTGACATGTTTTAGCCGGGACTTTAAATGAAAGTTTGTCTTTTCAGGACAATCTTATTGGATCAAATCTTTTGGCTACATTTTTGCCGTCTATCTTTACAAAACAGCTTTGCTAAAATAATCTATTAAAATAATAATATATTATATATATACACAATTTTACTGTTATCTATATTTGAATATTAAAATATATTCTTTTTTTTTAGTGAATTTGGTTCGTTATCTGGACTCACTTTTTAGTCGAGTTGTTTCAGTCAATTTCCTTTTCTTATTCCTTTTGGAAAAAATGTTCTAACTGTAGAATTGTAGAACTGTAACTGATGCTAAAAATATATAAAAAATAAAATAAAAATAGATTCCTGAAGGTATTTTCTGACATAATAAACATCTCTGGCGTTTTTTTTTTTCAGAACCACGATGGTCCAAATGACCGTGGGCTCAGCAGCTACTACGCTGTTCTGTGAACAACAACCAAAGACACCGAGTGCAGTTCCGTTTAGAAGCCATACTTCTCTTTGCCACAGCGTTGAACCCTGTGTGTCGTTTCCAAGTTCTAATTATAATTCTGATGAGAGGCTGTTTTGCATGATTCCCTGCTAAGCTGAAATCAAAGCTCCGTCTGATTGAGGGACGTCGTGACGGTTTGTAGTTTCAAACTGGTCGGTTTGAACAGAAAAAAGGAAAAAAAACAAAAACTCACTTCTGAAAATAGAAAAACTGATAAGAGAGAAAGTGAAGAATAACAGTTTGAAAAGTCAGTGGAAACAGGAGCTCGGTTCGAACCTACAGTTCCTGACGAGTTATGAACGCCAAGAAATGGTTCTAAAAATGACCGCCGGTCTTGTCACATGTCCAATAAATATAACCGCTGCACCAGAGGCCTGCTGCTGCTTTTAATTGCACCCAGTATTTTTCCTTCCAGGAACCACAGAGCTCTAGGTTCACCAGATCTGGCACAGCGTAATCAGAGAGTTTCTCCCGTTGCACCGCTGATGTCACTGCCGGTGTGAAAAACACGCTCCGACACCTCGGGCACGTGTAATGACTTCAATCTAAAGTGAGATTTTTTTTTAACGGCAACAGCTGTTCTGAAAATAGGCCGAGTGACGGAACCGCACGCAGCCGACGGAGTGTGAAGGTTCTAACTACAGACGTCCACGTGAACAGAGGAGCACGTGCACACGTTTGACTTTTACCAGTGGACTGTTTTCACTCGGAAGGTGACATCATCAAACGCTTCGGTGAAAAAAAAAAATGACCTAATCTGTCTGGAGGCAGAGATTTTTTTCGAACACAGGTGAGGCCGAAATACGGTGGTCAGTTTTAGAATGTTGCCTTTCAACTCTTTCATCTCCCGAGCCGAGTCCTTTCATCTTTCGTTTGCATCTCAGCTTGTCCCGCGCTGCGATATCGGCAGGGAACGCAAATCTTTGCTCACAATCCACCGAAATCCATTCTACCATGGAGAAGCACTGCATTCGTGAGTGTGAGGGCGCCGCTGCCTCAACTACAGACCAAATCAAGGAGAAGTCGACAGCTATAGTAGAAGAATACCTTCGTGTCGGGGACGTGAACGAGGCTCTGCGATGTGTGGCAGAGTTCGTCAGTGACTCGTCGCTTCATCTGTTCGTGCAGAGCAGCATGGCGCTGACGCTGGAGCGCAGAACTGACTCTCAGGAGCAGATCGGCCGCTTGCTCCACAAACTGGTTGAGGCAGGGATGTTGCCGGCGCAGCAGTATTACAGAGGGTTGGGGGAGATCCTGGTGGCGGCGGCAGGTACTGCGGACGATACACCTCACATCTGGCTGCACCTGGCTGAGCTCATAACTCCTTTGCTCCAAGTGGGGGGCATCCCTATGGGACAACTTTTCAGTGAGATCTCAAGGTTTCTCTTACCACTAGGAAAGGCCGCCGAGCTGCTGGTACAGATTCTCAGGTTGCTCTGCAAAAGATCACCCCCGGAGAAGGTAGGTGAAATGTGGGTAGAGGCCAAGCTGAAGTGGAAGGATTTCTTACTGGAGGATGAGGATGTGGACAAGTTTGTGACAGAGCAGAAGGTGGATTTCACGATAGCAGATCATGGTCCCGTTGTTCCGGTTCAGCCTTCGACTGGAGCTGGAGATAACACTAAAAACAAACAGAACAACGACATTGAAGTATGCAGGGTGTTGTATCAACGGAACGAGCAAAAAACTCCTCACAAACAGCAGTGCGGGCCACTGAACCCTACGAAACAAAGGAGGCAATACAACAGCGACTTTCTCCTGAGCCTACGGTTCGCCAAGGACAGCGTGATCAAACCCGAGGGCTTGCCTGATGTTGGCGATGTAGTCCTCGAAAAAATAAACAAGACTCCTCTGCAACTCTCCCAGCGATCGCAGCTGTTGGGTCCTGACTTTACTCCCTCGTATTTGAGAAAACTGGGAGGCAGGTTATTGGGAGGACCAAGAGGCTCGCCTTCTGCCGCACGATGCCTTCAGTTGGATCAAAGTAAGGAGCCGGGGAAATTCCCTGGCGGTCTGGCTCTTAATAACAAAATGCAACTAAATAATTCATGGAAGCCCAGTGCTAAGTCGTTCGACTGCCGTGACAGTGACCAGGTTGAGACCTATGAGTTGTACGAGCATTTGTGCAGCATCCTTAACACAATGACTCTTCAGAATTTTCAGGAGATGATGAGGTGGGTGACAAGGTTGACTATTGACACAGAGGAGAAGTTGAAAGGAGTCATTGATATCATCTTTGCGAAGGCCATTTCCCAGCCCAGTATCTCCGTCATGTATGCTAAAGTATGTCACCGCCTCATGAGTCTGAGCGTCCCCGCTTCTGACACGCCAGACGTTCCCGTTACCTTTCACAGACTTCTGATCGACCGTTGCCAAAAGGAGTTTGAAGACCAGCCTCAGGACGAGAACCTTGAGAAGGTCCAAAAAGAATCTAAAGCCTCAGACGCGGCTCGTCGTCATATACTGGGAAACATGAAGTTCATCGGTGAGCTGTTTAAGTTGAAGATGCTGACGGAGGCCATCATGCACAACTGTGTCATGACACTACTCAGAAAACAAGACGAGGAGCCTCTTGAGTGTCTTTGTAAGCTGCTCACCATAATTGGAAAAGATCTGGATCACGAAAAGGCCAAGCCATGCATGGATCAGTACTTCACCCAGATAGACAAAATCATTAAAGAGAGAAGGACCTCCTCCAGAATCCGTTTTATGCTCCTCGATATCTTAGACCTCAGGAGAAACAGCTGGGTTCCTCGCAGAGGACTTCCGTGTCCTAAGACCATTGAGCAAATTTACAAAGAGACAGAGAAAAACAGAGAACAGATCAAGGTCCGGGAGCAGCACATGTCCAGGAAAAAAAGGGGTGGGGGAAGGATGGGGGGAGGCAGGCGGAGCCGCGGTAACCGCACACCCGGAGGAGGTTGGGTTTCCCACCTTCAGGACGAGGGATGGAAACTGGTACCTATCTCCAAAAACAGACCAAATGACACAACCTACGTAAATCTGACCACCAAGCCTGGTGGCCTGGAATTAAAAAGCCAACAATTAGATCCAGGGGGCAATGGGTTTCTAGGTTCATGGGGCAAAAGCAGCGGTGGTGGAGCTGGAACTAAACCGGCAGGCCCAGCTACCAGCACCTTTAACCATTTCTCTGTGCTTCAGCAGTCTGATCCACTGTTGTCTCCTGTAAGTTCTGATCAGAGGTTTCCTCAAGGGTCGGGGTCCAGTCAGGAGAGTAACGGTGACAGAGACAAGGGCAAAAGCAAGAGGGATCACTGCGAACTCAGCGAAGACCGGGAAGACCAAATGTCCAAGAAAACCTCCAGCAGAGAGTTGCCAAACCACGGGGGGAGGGACGGTGGGAATGCGGCGTTAGCCGAGCATCACGTCTGTAACATGAACGAAGGCCGGAAATGGAGAAGGAGGAAGCAGACGTCGAAGCAAAGCTCTCACAGCTAAGTCTGAGAGCAGGTGGACACGACACCCAGGGATACCTCCACATCCACGAATGCAAACAAACACAATAATTTTCACTGGTCCCTGTGCGTGAACACCACCCAACGAGGTAGCTGTTGAGCCTGGCTTCTACCAATCCAGGATCTCCTTTTAGTAAATGTTACTGTGCTTTTGTTCTATGTCTATATCAACCTTTCTCCAGGCTTGAGTTCAGAACTGGGGTGGACACCAAAAACATATCGGTCGTGACGTTGCAAACGCAGCAGTACATCAAGGGGGTGACGTGAGATTAAAGGTGTCCATAAATTACTATTACATTTACATTCTCTGTTAGCAGACACTTTTATCCAAAGTGACCAACAAGAAGAGGATTACGGACATGGTTCCACTGGGGCAGAGACGAACCTCGAATATGTCACCGTGAGCCTTATTTTCAGGGACTGAAAACTCCAAACTTCTCGAGCGTCTATGACAGGTTAGTATGTAGCGTAGGTCACAAATGGATGAACACAAATTTGAAAAGAAACAGGTAAAAGAAGGTCAAAATCAGAGCTAATCAAATGTTCAATGCAAAGTATTCAAGCTTTACGTCAGAGACTGGGTTCAGGCTAATTTTGATGACTTGTAATCAGGCTCCAAATCTTTGCTAACACTGATGGGCATCAGACGTCCAAAACTTTGCTAACACTGATGGGCATCAGACGCAAAGTTTTGTTTGTCACCCAGCCCTACACACCCTTCAAACTCTCGTTGCAGCGGATTATCTTGAAGCCCTTGAAGAAAGGAACTTTTAATTTTTTCAAATGTGGTGACAATTGGAAATTCAGTAAGAGAACAAAGGTGGCATTGGCGTCGAAAAGGAACCAAACGAATAAATGTCTAATTCATGATAATGTGCTGGCTTCAGTTTGGGCTTTTTTTTATCTCTAGCCTTGAGCAAATTCAAGGATCCAATGTGATTCTTTAAACAACACTGGTATCTTTCATAAACGGTGCTCCCCTCGGCCTCCCTGGGACATTTCTAGGTGGAAGTGATTAAATGTACTGTTAGACTCGATCATGAGTGTGTGTTCGAGGGAGGTGCAGCAAACGCTGAACAAAGAAGACTCACAAATGTAAGTTTTCTAAATACACTTTGGAATAAAACCTCTGATGTTGGAAGCAAAACTTGTCAGGATGAATGAGAGTCCAAAAATGTTCATTTGCAAAAATCATCAAACTGTTGAGCTAAAGACACAAAATGGTAGAATATTCAACTCAACTGACTTGATGATGTTGAGGTTCTGAGAACCAATCACCACTCAGTGACAACAGAACCAGCCTTGTAGACTGTCTGCTTTCTCAGCTCAGCCTCTCCAGAATCTCTGGGACGCACATGAAAACCATCGCTCCTCTGAACAAAGGCGTCCTTTTTGCAGAGGTCTCAGTTGGCAGGGACAAACCTGGGACATTTACTCAGGCCAACACGTCTCAGACACCCACACTCACACACACGGTGCCGATTCATCAACGTGTGTCACAACTTTTATCTGCTGCATGTTGTGCCTCCGACAGTTCGGGTTTGTGTACAGTAGGGGGTGCAAAACATATTCCATATTCCATTCCGTGATATTCCATTTCCTGATCCCGTATCAATCTCCTC